CCCTCTCCCATGTCCCCCCGGAACTGTCAGTCCCGTTGTTTTCTCCTCCAGATTGTTCATCCCTAATGATCTTAAATATACAAATGAACATAAACAAATCTAAAATGATTAGTGAGGTAAAACAGATAAAAACCATAATATTCAGGGGAGGAGATATGAAAGACCTAGAGGGCAGTTGTGTGGTTCACCAGTGCCATACCCAGAGATTATGCTGGTGCAAACCATGCTGTGTTTGGAACCTCCCGGTTCTGATAGGGATCTTTAGCAGAGTCCATAAGTGGGCCAGTCCTTTTCAGAGCAATGTCAATACCCAGGGGGTAAACTGAATGCTTCCGTGTAGTTCTGGCGACACCTTTGACTTCCAGTGAGATCATTTGCTTTTCTTCCAGGCTTTCTTGCAAGGCTCACAAATAGCAGTTCTCTTTGCTAGTCCTTGAGAGCTCCTTGGATGTCTCAGAGGCCTCTCACATTTCATTTATCTAAAACAAAATCCTTAACTCCTTGCCTCCTAACACCCCAAGTATCCCAGTCTTCTCTGTCTCAGGAGATTTACCCGTTTTCTCCAACCACAGACCTTCACACTCCATTTCATACCTAGTCTCCTTTCCTCAAGGAGTCCTGGTGGCACAGTGGCTAGGTGCTCGCATGCTAACCAAAGGTTCAGTAGTTTGAACCCACCAGCCACTTCAAGGGAGAAAGATATGTCAGTCTGCTTTTGTAAGGATTAGCAGCATGGAAACCCTGTGAGGCCATGTTTCATTCTTTCTGTACGATTGTTAGGGTGTACACTAGCCAATGTCTATTTATTTCCTTCATTTCTTTACTACTTACTTTCTGGTTTTCATGCTTAGAAACAACAGGCAGAGATTTTGTCAGTCTTGTATTCCTAACACTTAGAACAATACCTGGCATGCAGTAGGTACTCAGTCAACGTATATGCTGAGGGTTCACTTTGGGGAGGTTGAATAAAGGTTTTTGAAGTTAAAATGGGTTGGAATATGTAAACTGGAATATAAATCTGCACTCTTGCACTATAAAGCTAAGTCAACAGTGTGGAGACCACAGCTGCCCTCCTTTGACTACACAAGGGAGGAGCATCCAATTCCAGACAAACCTAGGTTGATTGCCATAAGGTAGCGGTCAGACATCCTTCCACCCTCTGCCCTTCTTTACCCCATGCTCACACCAACTGTTCCACTCCCCACCCTTGGCACTCTGCTTCTCGGTTGGTTGGGTTTGATAGTTTATTGCAATGAATACACAGAACTCATAGATAATACTCATGATTATGGGATTTGAAGAGGTTACCACAAGCCAGAAACAGAGAACATTAAGGATAGTAATTGGGCTACAACAACATCTCTTCTCAGCCAGCAGCAACTTTCTCCCTGGTCCTCAGCCTCCCAGCTACGTGACCCCTTGATTTGTGTCTCTGTGGAGCAGGAAGTCCAGTTGCTGCTCTACTTCACTGTTTCGTGGTCTTCACACTGCTCCTCTGCTCTGTCTCCTGGCCTCCTTGCCTCAGCGTTTGGTCTCAGTGTGGCAGGTTAACTCCGCCGCTGTAGCCAGGTGTTTCCAGTGGGCTCTGCTGGTGGCTCTTCTTGGCTGGTCCTGGGGGTTCTCTCAGTTATTACTTCTGAAATAGCTCGCATAGCTAAGGGAGTGGTGACTAAAACTGACCAATCCCTTCTATTAGTGTTTCACATAGCCTATTTGCATGGCTCCACCCAGTCATTTGGTAGGGGTTATAGTAACATGGATCAAATTCAAAATCACTGCCTTCGAGTCCATTGACTCCAAGTGACGCTACAGGACAGAGTAGAACTGCCCCATGTGCTTCCCAGACTGAATGTTTACGGTGGTAGAAAACCCCATCTTTCTCCCACAGTCACATAGGTCTCATAAACTCACTGCCATCCAGTTGATGCCAACTCATGGTGACCCTAAAGGACAGAGTAGAACTGCCCCTGTGAGTTTCTCCTGTTCATGTCTGAGACTGTAACTCTTTACAAGAGTAGGAAGCCCTGTCTTTCTCTCACAGAGTGGCTGGTGGTTTTGAACTGCCGTCCTTGCAGCAACAGTACAATGCATGACCAGTACACTGCCAGGGCTCTGTAAGAACATAGATGGAAGAGCCATATTGAGAAATTTCATTTCACCACAGTTTTATAATGTGTCCCATTTGTTTCAGGCTGCCTTTGATATTGGTTGGAAATAAATCTGACCTAGTAGAATATAGTAGCATGGAGACCATCCTTCCAATAATGAACCAGTACACAGAAATAGAAACCTGTGTGGAGGTAAGCCTCGCCATTTGATTTGGGGATTACTCTTGTTGAGAGTTCACTAAATGGAGGTTTCGGTTGGGAAGGGAGAAAAGATGGGATAGAATAAAGTATCTGTTTTTTGTGAAATCAAGTAAACCACAGAAAACAGCCGGGGGGTGAGGGTTGGGGTGGGGTCCTCTGAGCTCTTTTCAGGCTTTTGAGTTGTGATAGCCATAAAGAAAATTGCATATTTCAGTTCCTTTAGGGGACCTTTACTGCTGCTTTATATACAGATAGTTAAAAAACTGTTTTTCATTCTTACAACTTATTTTGCATTGTAAAATTTAAATTCTTTTTTCAGTGTTCAGCAAAAAACTTGAAGAACATATCAGAACTTTTTTATTATGCACAGAAAGCTGTTCTTCATCCTACGGGTCCCCTGTACTGCCCAGAGGAGAAGGAGGTAACCCCCACCCCCAAACTGTGTTTGTAGGGCCTGGAACATGTACGTAGTAACTCTAGTCTGGTTGTGACTTTTAGTAACTCTTCATTGTTTGAGGTGAAAATTAAACTGCTGAAATTTAAATTTAATGATTTCTAAAGTGTTAAATTTTACAGATACTTTTCTTCAAAGACATAGTAGTGAAAATACTCAGAGTAGTATTCCAGATCAAAAACTATCAGTAAATGTCATTAAAACCAGAGATTTGCAAAAATAATAAGAAAAGTCCATTTGCTCATGATCTGCTTGCTTTGCTGCTATAAAATTCACATACAAGAAAAAAACACAAGCACAAAAGTAGATAGTTTCTATGAAGTGTACGCAACATACTAGCGCAATTTATGACTACTTCGTACTGTTTCATAGTTAACAACAGCATTATTCATTATAGAAATAGCTATTTTTACCATTTTTTGGCGTTAGGCTTTTAAAATGAAATTGTTAAGATAAATAGTTCATATGCCATAAAATTCATCCTTTAGTGGTTTAAAGTTCAGTGTCTTTTAGTGTGTGTACAAAGTTGTGCAAACATTACCACAACGTAATTCCAGAATAGCTAAATCCAGAAATGCTGTGTACCCATTAGCAGTCCCTCTCCATCTCACCTTTCTCACAGTTGTTGGCAAACACCGCTTTGGTCTCTGTGGGCTTGTCTAGCCTGGACATTGCCCATCAGTGGAATCTTATGTAGCCTTTTGTGCTTGACTTCTCTTCACTTACCGCATTTTTAAGATTTATCCATTCTCATAGCCTCTATTAGTACTTCTTTCCCTTTTATGGCTAACTAGTATTCCATTGTGTGCCACATTTTGTGTATCCATTTGTTGATGGACACTTGGATTGTTTTCTCTTATTAGTTGCTATGAATAACACTGTTTTGAACATTTGTATACAAGGTTCTGACATATGTTTTCAGGACTCTAGGGTATCTAGAAGTGGAATTTCTGGGTCAGATAGTAACTCCTTAAGTTTAATGTGCTCTGAGGAACTACCTACCTGTTTCTTACAGGGTGGCACCAGTTTACCTTCTCATTAACATTGGGCAGGGGCTCCAGTTTTTATACATTCTCACCTATACTTTCTGTGTCCTGTTATCGCCATCTTTATGAGTGTTAATCGGTGTTGTATTGTGGCTTTGATTTACATTTCTCCGAGGACTAAGAATGTGAACATCTTTTCATGTGCTGGCCGGCCATTTATATTATCTTCTTTGAAGAAATGTCCATCCAGATCCTTGGTCTTTGTATTATTATAATTTTTAAGAAAAAATATTGGAACACCCCCGTCCCCTACCCCCTGGTGCTCCTTCCTCCTAGGACAAGTTTATAGTTTAGAGAAGAGTTGGCAGATTATGATCGATTGGCCAAATTTGGCCTCTTTGTTTTTCACAGTTTATGAACTAAGAATGAATTTACATTAAAAAAATTTTTTTAAAATCATTTTATTAGGGGCTCATACAACTCTTGTCACAATTCATACATACATCAATTGTGTAAAGCGCATTTGTACATTGATTGCCCTCATCATCCTCAAAACATTTCCTCTCCACTTAAACCCCAGGCATTAGGTCCTCATTTTTCCCCTCCCCGCTACCCCCTCCCTCATGAGCCCTTGATCATTTATAAATTGTTATTTTGTCATATCTTGCCCTGTTCAACATCTCCTTTCACCCTCTTTTCGGTTGTCCGTCCCCCAGGGAGGAGGTCACATATAGTTCCTTGTAATCGGTTCCCTCTTTCCTACCCACTCTCCCTCTACCCTCCCAGTATCGCCACTCACACCACTGGTCCTG